AAAGAAACAAAGACGTAATCAAAACTCAACTGGCAAAAATCTCTGTGGCTATAGGCCTTCCTTGGCCTAAATTGCTACACATAGTTCTATTAAACTTAATATCTATACCCTTTGGAAAACACAAACTGTCACCATTTGAAAAAGTTATTGAAAAATCCATGATTCTTGACTTAGGACTATATAATCCCCTTCTAGTAAAGGGAGATCTTTTACATTATTGTCAAAGTTTCATTAAAACTGACCCAGAAGTGAGGCAAATGACCCCTAATGTGGATGGCTTTCCCAAGACATCCCTTTCCCTTGGACAAGGCTGGTACTCTCCTTGATTCCCGTCAATGAAATCCCTCAAGTTAACCTTGTTCTAATTGCTACCATCATCGAGTTGTTACATCTCCTTCATTATGTAATAATTGATGATCCATCAACTTGCTTCTTCTTATAGACATATTGTCAAGGAGCAAAATTTTTAATGAATACGTTTATGGCCATAAATGAACATTTAGAGGAAGTGACTCTGGTCCTTTGGTTCTTCAATATTGACTATAAAGGACTGGACAATTGAATTCTGGGGACTCCTCGTTGAAGCTACAGTTTTATTAATGCACTTTGTCCTACTACATAGAGTAGGCATCCTCCATGAATGGTAATTCTATCTTATATTAACTCTGCTGGGAATAAGCCTGTGGCTCCAATTCTTGGCCATTTAATTACTCTATTTCACTTGGGATCCTTTCACTCACCAAGGCCATGAGTTACCCTTAGTCCTCTTTATATTAAAATGGCTGACTTTTCCTGGGATAATTTTTACTAGAGTTATATTATTAGCTCTCTTAATATCCATCTGGACTCTCTATACCTGGGAAAGTAATGCCTTATTTGGAAGTGCATTTTGTAAATGCCTAAGTAATGCATTTCCAAAAGTCTAGCCACTGGAGGAAATCTAACAAACTGTTGGATATGCCATCAACACCCTAATCATTCTCTGAATACTGGGATCCCCTTGCTTTGGCTATCTCTAATCTTACTGGTAACTCTCTACCATATGTTATTCAGAACTCATCTACTTGAATCCACAGTTCCCTTTCCTTGTTTTCCTTGTTTAGAACCAGATAACCCCCCCAAACAGTTCCTTAGGAATATGTGTTCCAATGAGGCCCTGTGGTTATCCAGAAACAAGAGATCCAACTTCCAAATACCCACTTTTATTTCACTGTTCAGCAACAAAATATATTCTCATGATAACCCCCATACATTCCAACAAGGAAGGCTTCTAGGCTGCTCATATATAACCAGCCCATGGTTGAATTTCACCTTTGATATCTCCTTTCTCTGTGCTTCAGTGAAGTTGCTCAGTCGTGTCCAACTCTTTGCGACCCCATGGACTGTAGCCTACCAGGCTCCTCCATCCATGGAATTTTCCAGGCAAGAGTACTAGAGTGGGTTTCCACTGCCTTCTCCGGGGAATCTTCCCGACCCAGGAATCGAGCCCAGGTCTCCCACATTGCAGGCAGACGTTTTACCATTTGAGCCACTGGGGAAGCCCTCCATCTATGTATTTGTGGTTGGAAGGTCACCACCTAGAGCATATCCTGCCTCAATTCCCTAACACCAGGTTCTAATGCCCTAGGACTTTTAATAGTTCATTTGACTGTTAAATTTTTCAGAAATTATCAAATGGCACATGCAGTCTACTTTAAGCCTCTGCCAAGAAACCCCTTCTGAGGGATTTAAAAGGTTCCTTTTATTTAAACCACACAGGGAGTTGGCGCCGCTGACAAAATTATTCAAAACCTTTCTGCTATCACAGCAGACACAGCTAATGCCACAGCTAAAACATTAAGTGCCCAAAAAGACTCCCTGAATTTGCTTGCTCATCTTGTGTTAGATAAAAGTTTTTCTTTGGATTACCTTCTAGCAGAACTTGGAAATGTCTGTGTCATCTTAAATACCACCTGTTGTACCTGGATAAATGCCTCTGGTATAGCAGAAACTCAAGTTGGAACCTTACAAAACAAGGTCACTTGACTTCATTCTGATAGTCTTAATACTTCCCTAATGTTTGGTTTGTTTAGTTGGTTACCCTCAAACATTGGACCTTGGTTCAAAACTGTTTTGCAAACTGGGTTATTACTCTTAATAACTGCTGTCAGCTTCTTGTGATAAAGTGCTTGCTTAAATTGATTACTTCTATACTTAACCATTCTACTGCTCAGCTGATACTCATCCAAATCGGTATACTTGAGGCAGCACAACATCATGTTGCTTCCAGTGAATTTTCCAATGTATCCACTGATTCATTCACAAACCACCCTCTAAAGGACATGATGGACCTGGAGCAGACAACCAGTTCTGGCTATATGGGAATAAGAATTGCTCCAATGATGCTTTCTTCAGGAAAAGGCATGGGAAAAAGGGGGAAATATGAAAATAACTATGTCATGAATGACTAAGACATGACCTGAAGACCTCCGTGTTTGCTATCAATGCTGGACTTTCACTGAACACTCTAAATTAAAACTGCTGAATAGTTGCTGAGTTGCTAAAATGAAAGATTGATGTTAAGAACTAGACTTCATCTTCCTAAGAAAACACAACTGTCCCTAGTAATGACTGAGATGCATTCCATAACTCAATCTTATGTATAGAATAATTTTACCCTCCAATCCAAATTGTTGGTAAACAACTTGCATAACCCTGCATTGACTTCCCTCTTCCTGTAAAAAAAAAACCCTAGCCATTTTCCCCTTGTGGGACACTATTCTGGTTTCTTCTAGACTTTCTGTGATCCCTGAATTGCAATTCTAAGACCCCAAATAAACTACCTTTTTGCCTCTTCACAGTTAGTAATCCTTATGTTTGATGTGGATTTAAATTAGCATGGGCCATATCTCCTATGGTAGAAAAAATTAAGCACAAACTAGTTGTAACCCTTCCCTGTTCTGAGCCTGATAGTAGAAAGAAAACTGACAGGAAGGAAGTGAATTAGAAAAGAAAGAGGCTGGAGTTGGGGAAATAAAGAGTAGTGTCTGGGAAAAAAAAAGACGTAGAAGAGGCTCTAACTAGGGTCAGCTGTACGCAGTCACCAACTGGCCTAGCAATGTCACCTCTACGGTTTTTCTTCCTGGATGAGCAGAACCAGGTCCACTCTGTTACACCTCTTTTCTATAGCCCAGCTTGGGGCTGGACAGATGTTTTTGCCCCCAAACCCACACACGCAAGCTGGGGAGCTGGAATGATGGTCTGAGCAACCGTTGGGGCAGAAGTCAAGAGGCGGACCGGAGTCAAGAGGAGGGCAGGGAAACCCTAGATAAAGGAAGTAACCCTCTGGGAGGCAATGCCACGCGGGGTATTCAAGAAAGGCTGTTACAAGTGCAGCAAGTCTGTATAAAAGGCTGGAGTAAAGGCGTGTATGAGGTAACCGCTGCGGAGCCAAGAGGAGCTGGGGTCGGAGGAGACAGAACAGAGAGGGACCCGGCAGGCAACCACCCACCGCGGAGGCGGCGTCAAGTGAGGGAACGGTTGGTACAGAACCACCTCTCCTTTGCGCGCCGCAGCTGCCTGCAGGCAGCTCCCAAGGAGAAGAAAGTTCAGTTTGGGTGAAACGGGGTGTGAACCGAGGAATATTACTCCGGTCCCGCGCGGAAGAGGGCGTCAAAGAGCACCCTAAGGGTTGAGAGGGTGTACCTGGGCTTGCGGATGAGCATGGAGAGGGAATCCCCGACTCCCAGCCTCGCCGATTTCTTCTCCTTACCTTGGGCACCGTGATATGGTCCATGACCGCGGTTCCCCACACCCCAAAGCTTTAGTGCAACTCAGGCTGCTGCCGCCACCACGATTCTAGCAGCCTTCTTGCCCAACCGTGGTTCTAGCCCCCGCCCTCCCTCTCGTGCTGCAAGCTCTCGTCACCTGATCCTTGCGGAGGCTTCTCTCGCGACACTTCGCCTTTGGCCGCTAACGCCATCTTGCTTCCTGGCAATGCCCTTTTCTTTGTGCGATCCTGTCAAAACGCCATTCCTTTGGTAGGGGTGTGTGCTCAGTCACATCCGACTCTTAGCAACCCATTGGATTATAACCCACTAGGTTCCTCTGCCCATGGGATTCTCCAGGCAAGAATACTGGAGTGGCTTACTATTTTTCACTCCAAATGATCTTCTCTGCCCAGGGATGGAACCGGAGTCTCTTGCAGCTCCTGCTTTGGCAAGCAGATTATTTACCACTGTGCCATTTGGGAAGAGAAACTACTAAATATACATTCTAGCTCTCTAAGAACACTTGGTTTAAGTAAAATCCAGTGATTGGGAGCTTTTTTCATATTAAGGGCAAAGCTACTAGGATTGTAGACAGGAGGCAGAACAGTGACATTAGGCTCACAATGGGACTGCTTCCATTTTCTTAAGAGTAAAAACAGCAACAACAGATTGTCCTAGTTCAGACTTCAGGTTTGGCCCAGGAGTTCTTAAGTCCCAGACTCAAGTGCTGGCACCTTTCTCACATCCCATGATGCTGTAAGGATTCTGAGTACCAGTATCATTCCACTATTTTTTAATGTTAACAGAGATGGCACCAGAGAAAACATAGACTACTCTGTGGTGATGACTGAGTTTCTGAAGAGCTTCCTGTGAGACCTTGGGCAAGTCACTATAGAATATTTTTGAGATGGTTTATAAGTATATTTTCCTTTCATTCCTCTCAACCAGGGGGAGTCTACTGCCATCAACCTAGTTAAAGCCTGGACTATTAGAGTAGCCTCATAACTTTGTCATCAAAGGTGTGGGAAAAGGACCAGAGACCCACTGGACCACCTCTCAGATGAGGTGCAGCTACTCTGTAGTGTTCTCTGAATCAGGCTTTTGATGGCAAAAAGAACAGTCTGGGAGTTGTAAAACCTGGATTTTACTCTCAGGTCTGCTACTAACTTGCTGTGTGACCTTGGACAAATCATGTCAGCTCTCTGGGCCCTGTATTCTAGCTGAAACCTCTATCTTGCCTGAATTATTGACATGGTTTGGTCGCCATGTTTTGGCCCCGGTTCCTCTAGAATCTATCCTCAATATGACATCTTCCAGACTCTAGAATCTATAGTGATGTCACTCCTTTGCTTGAAACCTACCAGTGGCTCTCCATTTCAGAGTAAAATCCAAATCTTTACGTTGCTTAAAATAAGCCTACATGTGATCTAAATCTAGTCCCTCTCTGACTATATCTTCTATCACCCTTTTCTTTCTCTCTTTATGTTATATTGATCTTCTTGTTGTTTCTGAAATATACCATACATTTTCCTGCCTCAGAAGCACTTGCTGTTCCCTCTGCCTAGAATGCTCTTCCCCCAGATATCCATATGTTCACTCCCTCATCTCTGTCGTGTCTCTGGTCAAATTCACAATGTCAGAGAATTCTACTTGAGCACCTTATATCAAATAAAACCACCACTACTTCTTCCCCAGAATTCTCTATTGTCTTAACCTTTTTTCTTTATATTAATAATTATGAACACCAGCTGATATACTGTAAATGTCCTTATCAGTTATTTGTCGCCCCCTCTAGGATGTCAGCTTCATGAGGCCAGGGACTTTTTGTTCACTGCTAGATCTCCAAAGTCTGGAACAGACTTGGAACACAGTACGTATTCAATAAATATTTGTTGAATAAGTGAATTTTCTAAACTGCCCCAAATTTTCTCTCCATTAACTTTAGCCATTCCTCCTAACAGTTCCTATTTAAGGCAAGTTAGTGTCATTTCAGAGGAAATTTAGAGATGGTGATTTGTCAAAGGTTTCAGAATAATCACATGTCAGGTTGGACCCCCACAGAAGTAGATAATATCTGGGACTAAGAAGGAAAATGTGGAAGGAAAAAGTATTAGATTCATAAAAAAATTTCTGTGAAAGGGATTCTATTACCATCTATTATTTTTTTGTCTTCTGCCATTATAATGTCAGCTCTGTGAGATTTTTCACCATTCACTGCTGTAACCCAGTGCTTGGAAAAGTACTTGGCAAATAGTGAATGCTTGATAAATGCTTGGTGAATGACTAGATGAAAACGAATTACTCTAGACTCACAGCTGGTGTGGACCAGAGAATAAACAAGTAGATGGAAAGAATCTGAAGACAGGAAATCATTAGGAGGCTATTATGTTCATCCAAAAAGAGTTGTAAGCGAATGAGGCTGTGGGGTTTTTGACTTGGTACCTAGAACTCAGGTCTCAGATTAGCCAATATCTGAATACTAGTTGCTACACTAAATCTCACCTGTCCTGCTTTATATCCAAACCTCCAACTCAAATATTACTCAGTTATGTTCTACATTGAGGGATTTTCTGATGTTTGGGATTGGTGTTTCTCCCATGGTATCCTAGGGAAGTAAGTAGATGTGCTTTGCCCCAGTATCTCACTAGCTGGAGATACAACCACAGAAAGCTACTGCCAAAGGTCACCCATGAAGTGGTGAATTATGACTGTTTAACAAGTCACAGAGCCTTTGTGACCTCACTCCTGCTCCAGAGATAGCTTGATAAGTCACAACAGAGGGCAGTTGGGGCATAACTTCACACAAGTCATCAAGACCTCCTCCACTTTGCTGCTGGGAGAGGCCATCAAAAACAGACTGTATTTTTAGTTTATTTCAGTCTCAGCTTATCAGTCATCTTGAGCCAACTACCAACAAACTTCTTTTGAAGACCTACTTGCCAGAAATCACTTTATTCATCTTTTAGAGACAGCTTACCTGAATCATGCAGTGCATAGGGGATATCAGTGAAGAAGTCTGGCAAGACTGCATCACCCTCTTCCTACAGACTGGGATGTGCTGTGATGTGGCGATAATAACCAATTCCCCACCTTGGTTGTTGGCTTCTTATCCTCAAGGAAACCTGTTCCAACTGACCCAGGAAGAAATTCAGATCTTGCTGGTGAGAGAAGGGAGAGAGAAGTTGTTTCTTCAGGGAATCACCCTTGCAGGGACCAAATGTTTGTTGATCCGGGACAACCTATACACTGAGGGCAACAACACCATGGATCTCCGCACCAAAAGCCAGAGTTGGGGCAGCCAAGCAGTGACAGTAGTTCAGGTCGAGTCTGTATACCTTGTGGTGATGGGACAAAAAGGAACAGAAGGAGGGCCTCTCAACTTCAAGGCTTTTGAGATGGCGGGTTGTGTCAAGGAAGCCATTCATCAACATATGGCCCATTTCTAAGTAAATAAAAAGGCCTTGATGTTTGACCTGGAATTCGAATTCATTGTTATCTGACTCACCTTCCAGATTAACAGTATTGAAGAAAATAAAGGGAAATTCCAGATCAGGTTTGGAGATGTGTGTGTGTGTGTGTGTGTATACGCTTGTTAGGAGAGGAGCAGATTGGGGAGTGAGTAGTCAAGCATTTGAGTTTCTGTACCTTGTTCACACCTAGAACACCATCTGTCCCATCTCAGCACTTGGAGGGAAGAGTACTGGACTGGGAACTAGAAAATCTTGGTTGCACTCTGAACTTTTTCCTAACTATGGTATCTTTCTCTCTTTGTACTTCAGTTTCCTAATCTGTACAATGAGGAATGTACTATGTCTCTAAGGGTCCTATAAGCTCTGGAAATCTATGATTTTGTAATAATCACATATATCCTTCAAAATTCAGCACAAGTATTATCTCCTCAAGGAGTCTTTCTTTGCCTGCATCAATCTTTAGGGCAGACTCTAATTTGAATTACTAGAGTACTAACGCTATGGATAATTCATGTGTACTTAATCTCACTCTTCCCAGTATTTCTTGGATGATTGTCGTAATCTTGTTTAACTTTTCACACACACATTAGTTTTGTTTCCCAACTTTATAATAATCTGCAAAAAAATGACAGATGGTTTACCTTCTACTTCTCTATTCCCCTTCTGGGGTAACCCATCATGGGGCTTTGCCAGGGGAGTTGGCTATATGGATAAAATCAATTATCAGGAAAAGAGAGATTTTCCAAAGTGGGGATTCTGCTGCATGTGGATGATCCAGGGTGTTTGTGGGTAGATTTTATTCTTCCAATTTGTGGCTCAACTTCGGACTATTTATCTGTTCATTGTTGTCACCATCAGGGAAAACATGGGTGGGCAGAAACTAAGAAAGGAGGTAAAAAGCGCTAACCATTCCATCTAGCTTGTTGCTAGCTACTCTGGACAAGCTGGTGTGAAAGAAGACAAATGAGAAAGATGAGATTGAATAATAAACCACAGCAATTCTTGCCTGGAGAATTCCATGAACAGAAGAGCTTGGCAGGCTACAGTCTATGAGGTCACAAAGAGTTGGACATGATTGAGTGACTATCACTCATTTGACCCTACTGCCACCAGGAGCAGTGATTATGGAGAACCTTCTTATCTGTCAATTTCAGGGAAAAACTTCAAAACCCACCATATACACTCTCACAAGCCTATAAAGGTCAAAGTTTAAACATGGAGGTTGTAAAAGATCTGTTCTATTCAATACAGATATAATGTTAGTCATGTATGTAACTTATTTTAATAGTTACCTTAAAAAGGAAAAAATGATACAGTTGAATTCAATTTTAAGAATGTAGAATGTATTTTATTTAACCCAGTATATCCAAAATATTATTTAAACATATAATCAATAAAAATATTATTGATGAGATATTTTACATGTTTTCATGCCAAGGCTTCAAAATCTGGTGTGCATGGGTTCCCTGGTGGCTCAGTGGTAAAGCACCCACCTGCCAAGCAGGAGAAGTGAGTTTGATCCCTGGGTCGGGAAGATTCCCTGGAGAAGGAAATGGCAACCCACTCCAGTATTCTTGCCTGGAAAATCCCATGGACAGAAGAGGCTGGCAGGCTTTAGTCCTTGGGGATGCAAAAGAATCAGACACAACTTAGCAACTAAACAAAATCTGGTGTGCATTTTACATTTGTAACATATCTCAATTCAAACAAGCTTAATTTCAAATTCTCAGTAATCATAAGTATCTAGTGGCTACTGTATTTGGCAATGTGGGTCTAGGCCATCCTCATCCAGTTTTTGAAACCTCTCTACAATATCCTTGCCAGCACATTCATCCATCCATCCAACACTCTTCATGCCAAGTATTGGCTAGGTAATTAATAAAAATGTCAAAAATTAGAGAAAAGAAGTTTCTTAAATAAAATTCTAGTGGGGACAAGACAAATGAAAAAAATTTGTTGCAATACAATGAGGTAGATGGCATGAAAAAGTTTGTACAAATATGTATTGAGTTCCTGGTATGTGTTCTAAACACAGCAGTAAACAAAGTACACAATAACCCTGTATTCATGGAGCTTGTATTCTAATGGAAGAAACAGAATATGTGTCAGGAGATGATAAGTGTCATGCAACAAAGCAGTAAAAAGAGAGGTGGAGAGTGATGGGAAGGACTGTTTTAAATGGGAGATCAGGGGCAGCTTCTCAGGAGAGGTGATATCTGTACAGGGGCGTAATGAAGTGAGGCATTAAGTGATGTCAAGAACTAGGGGAAGTGCTGCAGATAGAGAGAAGAACCATTCAAAGTCCCTGAGGCAGGAGTGTGCCTGTTCTTTTGAGGAACTATCAGGAGACCCATGTGGTTGCAGCCTCCCAGGACAATGCTCCTTTCCCTTCTCACTTGCAGCATTCTAAAAAATGGTGGTGAGACTGTAGATGCTGTCTTCTGGGGTAGAACAGCAAAGCAGAGCAAATAGTCTCATCACCCTCCTTTTGGATCCTCTCTTTTTAATGAAATTGCTGTAACTTTTATCTTGGCAGCCATGTTATACTTCTGACTCACACTGAGCTCTTGGTTAACTAAACCCCCTTGGGCTTTTTCACATTGGCTTCTGTAAAGAAAAGAGCTTGAAACTGTGATAAGGCAATAAACCAGGGAAAAAAATTAAATGTGAAATTGGCTTCAGTAGAACCTTCATCTTGGATAGAGCCTCAATGTGGTTTAATACATACCCCTGAAGGGAAAGAAAGAGAGGTGAGATGGAGGGTAAAGAAGGAAAATTCTTAAGATAATTGAGCCTTCTACATTATTCTTTACAGCTTGAATCTCCAAAACATAAAGACATGTTCAGAAATTAGGGCCATTGAGGAAAATGGCCTTGTCAATTAGAAAGGCCCAAGCAAATCTTTCATTAGAGGCTAAGCTAAAGTATTCAGATTCCAATTGAACAAGAAACTGAATTGGATGTATGACTGACTGAGGATCAGGGTGGTAAGCTGGGAAGAGGAAGGGAACCTACATGGTGGCCACCTATCAGAGATCCTGCCCATTTGAGCCAGAAAGAAGCACTTCACTGTGGTACAAGACCATGCTTGCCTTTTGCCATGGTGAAGTCTTTCCCTAGAAACTGAGTGTGCCTTGTACAAGTAAGGTACAAATGAATGAAGAGAAAAATTCATTTGGACTGTTCTATTACCAGAAGGGATAAGGATAGGCTACATGAGAGCTCAGGGTCAGTACAGAGAAACTTGAACCTTGCTATGAGGATTCATTTCCTCCCTCCACCCTGTGTGCCCTTCCTGTTTTGGATACTCACAGTGAATTCTGAAGCTATCCTTAACCTTCATCTGCCACCTTGACGCCCACTTATCCTTCCTTGTACTCTGCAGTCCAGTCACACTGAATAACTCATTGTTTTCATCACATGCTTCACAATTTCCTGAATGGTGTTCTCAGAATTCACTACTACTTGCCCTCCCCTTCTCTAACAATCGCAAGCCAAAGCCCAACTCATTTGTCTAGACCCAGCCACCAGGCCCATTTCTATAAGGATATTTCTTATTCCCCAGGTTTGGAGTTGTTTCCTCCTGACTTGGAATCACTCACTTTGTGCTTTGCACCTCTCTCATAACACTTAACTCTTTCAGCTTTCAGTCCTTACTATGCACGTGTTATGTTTTCTTTACCTTATTGGCCTTCAAGGTGCCCTAGAGATGACTATTTGGTTGTAATCCCTATTAGCAGGCTTTTGTGCTAGAAAGTTCTCAATGAGTATACAACCTCCTGGATGATTAATAAATGACAGACATAATGAATGAATAAAGGTTAATTTTCCATCCAAGCCACTTCCTTGGTTTCCTGCAGTTTAACTTAGTGGAGAATGAAGGATGGTTGCTGAGTCCTCTTTGTCCTTCATCTCCCCAGCACTTATCACATTTCCTTTGCTTCTGGGCAACAGAGTGTCTCGCTGTGGGAAATCTTTAGCTTTGATTTTGAGGCTTTATGTGATTATTATATTTCTTGAATAGGGTGAGGTCTATGCCAATTGGATGGTATACACAATTAATGATGTAGGAATTAAGTGGAAGAACTCCAATGAGTGCTGTCCTTGTTCATTGTTATATGGAACGTGCATTCTCTCTGCTAACTAGAAGTTCTACATGCAGTATATTAATTTATTCATGTTTATTTTCTTGTTCGATATTTTATACAGGCATTTACAATGGGGTGAAAAGAACTGAATTCTAAGAATCTGATTCCCAGCTCTGAACTATCATTTATTAGTTATATATTCTTGGCTAATCACTTTATGGTCCTCTGGTTTCTCACCTAAAAAAATGGAGATGTTGATACTTGCAGGATTAGTGTGGAGATCAAATTTAAAAATGAACACAAAGTGCTTTGGAAAATATAAAGTGCTTTAAATATCAGATCACGTGTGGAGATATGTGTGTGGGGGTTAAGTTAGAGATACCTGTCTTCAGGCAAGTATTTGGAGGTATGGGAAGCAGATTGAGCTCCCATGCAATTGACAACAGAGACAAGAAACTTTGGGTCTGAAATGCTAGTTATAACAGAAGCTTTAACTTATTTGGAGATGGCCAGGATGGGGGTAGGTTGAGAATAAAATGTTGCTTCCTATGGAAAGGGTAGAGGCAATTCTTAGGAACAGCAGTAAACAGCTTCATATTTGTGGTCTAGCAGGGAAGAGGGCAATTATTTCCTAATGATAGAGCACTGAGTGTCTTACAGTTTATAGAAGGCTTTTGCCATTCATTCAGCAAATATTTATTTAGTGCCTACTATGTGTTTACTGTGAACAGATAAATGATAATGCAATATAGTAAGTGGTATTAAAGAGTACATTCATTCATTCAAATATTTATTGACTGTTCACTTCTGTTTAAGCATTATTGTAAGCACTGACAATACAATTGTGAATAAAATAGGGAAAACTCCCTGCTCTCATGGAGCTTACATTCTAATATGGGAGACAGCTGCTACACAAAATTA